AAAAAAAATATCCGGGGGAGTGCAGGGAGATGAATTTTTCATATTGGATTCACTCTACGGGATAGCAGAAGCAGAAAAAAAAGAGACAAGCAGAGCATAAAATTGAATGTCTGATGTACGACTCCTCTCCTCTTTTCTCTCTCCCGTTCCCTCGATTTTTGGACGCTTCAAAAAAGGAGACCATGCCAGGGCGGGTGAGTAAAAGGTAGCTGTTACTCAGTCAATCACGAAAAAGACGGTGCATGGGAGCGATGCCTCAGCTAAAAACAAAAGGTAAAACTCAGTTCTTCATGTAAAAAGGCCTACCTTAACAGATGACTCACAACTCAGCAGCTCGACCAACGGTTTTAAAACTTGCTCAAACGACTGGTCATCGAACGAGCGGCAGACGACAATGAATAGGCGATGCACCTTAAAGGGTCTATGTCTTCTTCACATCATCTCAAACCCAAACAACTTCCTAATCTCAATTGTGACAACCAAACCAGACAATTCTAAATGGAAAATATCTGACTCTTGAACTGTCTGTACGATTATTTATTCATCTACCGTTTGCACAGCCGATTCCTCGTCGAATATCATTCGCTCGAAAAGTCGAACCAGCGAGTTTCCCATAACAGTCATTTCCATCGCCGACTTCAGGGCATCCAGTTCACGCAAGAGAACAGCTTGTACGCGTTTCTCTTAAATGGACTAATGTCTTTGAAGAAATTTTTGAAAATTCTGAAGACGGACCATTTCCTTGTACAGCTATTGATTTCCGTAGAAGATGGAATGAATAATAGGACGAGATCGCATCATGGAAATTTGCTACCTGCAATGTGAATGGTAAAAGCGGGTGGGCGCAATCGCCTGCTCTTTTACTGATAACCATAAGAGAAGTTTGCGGTACCATATGATCGCGATTGATCGAAATAGCTGTAATAGGTGTGTGTAAATGCTCTCCCTCCAAAGCTCCAAAGCAGTTTAGCCACGCCCATAAGGGGCCGATAGGTCACGGCATCACATAGCCACCCGTAAATGGGAACTTTGGACCGACATTATTGAGATTATGAGAATACTGGCTGATAAACGCACTTCTGTCGGTATTTCGAGGCTCTGCAGAAGGTAGAATGGTATCTGTGAGGGTTCCGGAATTCCACAAAGCCCATCAACAAGCTCATCAATCAGATCGGTCCAAGATCTGCAGAAAATCTTATACCAGATTCGAAATATTCACGAATTAAAAAAGAAGACTTACTGTGGAAGATCGTGAGAATCCTCTAGAAAGTGCTGATTATTCGTTTTGAAATCTTCTAGTGGGTAAAACCGCAAGTAATGACGCCGAAATCGAAAAAGCGTTTGTACA